GTAAAAATAAATGCATATTATAAGACAATGAAAGTGTTTTTGACCTTGCATGCATGTCAACCTGTTGTTGGGAACTCCCAAAACCAAAATATGAACGTTTCATTACCTATAATTTATTTACAGAAAACAAATAAAATTTTTATTACTGTAAAAAAAGACCATAAATTGTATGTAGTATTTTACAGTTCAATTAATATCCATTTTATTGCAGTATTACAAAAAAATACCTATTTTATTACAGTAAAATGAGATAGGTGCCGGTTGGTTGCTAGGGTGTTGCTAGAGTGTTCAGGTGGTTTCTAAAGTGTTGTTAGGGTGTTTTGGGTGGCTGCAAAAGTGTTGCTAATATACTTAAAGTAAGTATATTAGAAGTTACTTACTAATATATTTACTTGAAGTTCAGCAGTAAAATATCTGTTTCCCCGGTAACACTGTACATAAAGCAGCACTGCGCTCACAAACACTGCTTTATCAGGCATTACAGGCAGATCCAATCAGACCAATCACCGCAGATTAGCGTCACGCAAAGCAGGGGTTTGGACAAATGAATCATTGAGTGAATCGTTTTGGGAGTCGTTGAGCAAGTGGTCGACTCTGAATCATTGAAACGAGTCGTTTTTAAAACGAATCCCAAGCCGCTTTGACGTCAACATGAAACATTTGCATATTGCCCGCCCACTGTCAACCTGTTGTTGGGAACTCCCAAAACCAAAATATGAACGTTTCATTACCTATAACTTATTTACAGAAAACAAATCTATTACTGTAAAAAAAGACCATAAATTGTATGTAGTATTTTACAGTTCAATTCATATCCATTTTATTGCAGTATTACAAAAAAATACCTATTTTATTACAGTAAAATGAGATAGGTGCCGGTTGGTTGCTAGGGTGTTGCTAGAGTGTTCAGGTGGTTTCTAAAGTGTTGTTAGGGTGTTTTGGGTGGCTGCAAAAGTGTTGCTAATATACTTAAAGTATATTAGAAGTTACTTACTAATATATTTACTTGAAGTTTAGTGCTGTCAAACGATTAATCGTGATAAATCACATCCAAAATAAAACTTTTTGTTTACATAATATATGTGTGTGTACATATAAATACAAATACAATATATATAGAAAATATTTACATGTAAATATTTATAGTCATATAATTTATATTATATATAAATATATTTAATATATAAACATAACATATTTTTCTTTCCGGAGCGTCCGGCGGATCCGCAGCAGACCGCGAGCTGCGTGAGGAAGGCCAGCGTTAGCAGCGCAGACGTCTGCCGCAGCGTCTCCTGCATATCCTTCAGCACGCCTTTCCCCGCTCCGGGCCTGCAGTCGCTGAAGAAGGTGAAGGGAAAGCCGTAGAACAAGTCGAAGCTGTGATTGTTGGGATGATGGAGGTGATCGTTCCTGCTCTCACAGTTCACACCCAGATGCTACTTACCTGGAGAGTGAACACATTCATTCATTCATTCATTCATTAATTTGTTGTGCATTTTAAATAAATTTTTGTTATTTTTGTGCGTATTTTATTTATTTGTTTATTTTCTAAAGATGTCATAATGAACTTGTAATTTGTATTTTTTCCATCTTCTGGGTGGTTACTAGGTGGTTGCTAGGTTGTTTTGGGTGTTTGTGGGTTCTGGGTGGTTGCTAGGCAGTTGGGGGGGGGTTCTAGTTGGTTGCCAGGGTGGTTACTAGGGTGCTGCTAGGAGTTGTTAGAGGGTTTTGCATGGTTGCTAATTAGTTGTTTGAAGGTTCTGTTTGGTTGCTAGGGTGCTGCTAGGTAGTTGTTAGGGGGTTATAGGTGGTTGCTAGGTAGTTGGCTGTTCTGGTTGGTTGCTAGGGTGCTGCTAGGTAGTCGTTAGATGGTTGGGACATCAACAGCAAAAGAGAGGAAGTGTTTCTTCTCCGTTCTGCGAGTTGGTAAGTATGCTTATTTCGAGGCCCAAATCATGCATGATTATATGGTTAGTTGTTTTTTATTATTTGCTTTCATTGCTGTTTCTCACTGCTGAGCAGATCTGAGACCCACCAGAAGAGAATAACTTGTTTACAGCACTATCTATTGTTATATAAATATGATAATATTCAGTGACAAACATGATTTAAAGGTGAAAATGATCAGTGGATGGCTCACCCTGTGGGTCGCTCTGCGTGCCGTTCTCTTCTTTGGCGCTCTCCGGGTCTCCTGAAGAGAAAGCATATGTTCTCATCACAGTCGCTGCATTATCTGAGACTCAGATGTTCATGTGAGTGAAAGTGTAAACACCCACACACCTCTCTGGGCTTTGAAGCACAGTTTCTTCTTCTGATAGGTGAAGTATCCGGTTATGGCACCAACAGCTGCTACTGCGATCCCACAAACAACACCAACAACCATACCGGATCCGCTGTCTGCAACAGAACCACCCACACCAGGTCAGTCGTGTCAGTATGTGTATATATGGTTACTCGAGTGTTCTGAGTGGTTGCTAGGGAGTTGTTAGGTAGTTCTGGGTGGTTGCTAGGTAGTTGTTAGGGAGTTCTGGGTGGTTGCTAGTGAGTTCATAGGTAGTTATTAGCCGTTCTGTGAAGTAACTGATTACATGTAATCTGGATTATGTAATCAGATTCCAAAATGAAGTACTTGTAATTAGATTACATTTTAAAATACTCGTAATCAGACTTCATGTACTTTTTTTATTGATTACATGATTATATATTATTCACAGAATACAATTAATTATTCATAATTTATTTATTCTGCCTAATTATTTTTTTAATATATATATATATACACACTGGGAAACCTTGACGTAATTTCATGTTGTTTATAACAACAAATGGAATATTTATTTTTTCTCTTTGTTCTTTTTTATATCAATATGGTGATAAACGGGTTATGTCAAAAGTAATCTAAAAGTAATCTGATTATATTACCTAAAATGTGTAATGTAATGGATTACGTTACTAACTACAATTTTTGTCATGTAAAATCTGGAATCAGTAACGGATCACAATTTGTAAGTAATCTACCCAGCACTGGTTGTTAGGGGGTTCTGTGTGGTTGCTAGGGCGTTGCTAGGAAGTCATAAGGAAAATCTAGGTGAAGATTTCCCCCTGTGTCTCTCTGATCTTCAGGTCTGTAGACGTGGTTCTCCTTCTTCAAAGCAAGTCTGTGGGATTTTCTTAACCTGTTTTATATGGAGCCAGATCGGCCTCAAAAATAATACATTTCTAAAACAAAATTCATAAATGCTGAGCACAATTTACATTTACAAAATCCGATTCGTACATTCAAAACACAATTCATAAATGCAGAAGTAAAAGCATAAATATTTCCCCAAATGCTCACACAAAAGCATCTTACCTAAATAAATTTAAAATGTTTACACAAATATGTATATATCAAGTTCTTGAATTAATTTCCATCACACATTTATGAATGATGTTACATGTATTTATGGATCGTTGAATCTGCATTTGCAAATCATCACACATGCGTGGACTGCTTTGAATTTGTGTGCGGTATTTTTGAGACCTTCCTGGCAGGTTAAGATTCATAAATATCTTTTTTTGGAGGATGTTCCGTTCAGCCAATCGCGGTGAGCTTTTAATCCACCAATCAAAACACTCTTTACTGAACAGACTCAAGAAGCTCAACGCTGCGGTGTTCGATTTCGAACAACACACACAAGCGAAGAGATTTAGCATGGAGGATGAAAACCACACTCAACGAGTGAGTAAAGTCGTTTTTTTATCTGATGGCATTTTCTTATGATTAAAGGTTGTTTTAGTTAATTAAGTGTGCAGTGTTACAAAGTTGTTAGTCCACGCCAGCTTTCTTATATTATAACTGGTGTTTGTAGGAACACTTTAGTAATCACAGGATGAATGGGCGATAAACAATCAGTAAAACAACGATTTCGATGCTAAACTATTGCATAATTTTAAATACGATTTGTAGTCAATGGGTTCTAAAGTTACCATTGCGACCAGCTATAATCATAAGAAAATGCCATCAGATAAAAAAAACGACTTTACTCACTCGTTCAGTGTGGTTTTCATCCTCCGTGCTGAAATCTCTATCTGTTATAACAGGTGCAAGCGTATGCAGAGTTTCTATTTAGGCTATAACACGTGTTTGCAGCGTTGAGCAATGCAGTGCTGAAATTTGCGTGCTCACGAATCCTCTCATTATAACACACGAATTGTAGACATTATGAACGATTAATTATGCTTATATTTATTGTGTTATAACAGAGATTTGTGAGATATTATAACTATGAACTGAGATGTCTTTTAGAGACTATAAATGCAGCGCTCTTTGCTGGCATTCTGTCATACTGTAACAACGCGCAGTTGTTCTATAGAACATGGGGCTAACTGGAACTAAGCTAGGCTACTAAACTGTTGCCAAGCTAATTGCTAAGAGGATGCTAGCATCTACACGTCGAGACTTTTAATTTGGTTATTGGAAAGTGCGAGCACTCGCGTCCCATACACCGCACGACCCAGAGAGTCTCTGTGAACAGAAGCACAAACAGAACAAACCAACAGAAGGCAGTACCATCATCTTTCTTCTTTTATTCCAGACACAGAATAAGAACATATACAGGCAAGGCCATATCGCCAAGTGCCTCCCCTACACATCTCTCTCCATGACGGTGACAGCCACACTTTTTATAACAAGGCAGTAAATGAACCAAACCCACCCGAACTAACTTGAACATAAACACAAATAACATTGCTAACGCAAAAACCCAACCATCTTGCTTAATTAACACATAAATCAACTCTAAACAAATACCCATAATGCACCTGGCTGCTAGCACTCACTGCCGGCTCATTACAATACCAGTTCGGAGATTTCGCACAAATTCAAAGCAGTCCACGCATGTGTGACGATTTGCAAATGCAGATTCAACAATCCATAAATACATGTAACATCATTCATAAATGTGTGATGGAAATGAATTCAAGAACTTGATATATACATATTTGTGTAAACATTTTAAATTTATTTAGGTAAGATGCTTTTGTGTGAGCATTTGGGGAAATATTTATGCTTTTACTTCTGTATTTATGAATTGTGTTTTGAATTTACGAATCGGATTTTGTAAATGTAAATTGTGCTGTGCATTTATGAATTTTGTTTTATAAATGTATTATTTTTGAGGCCGATCTGACTCCATAGTTTTATTGTCCAGCAGGTGAAAATATTTAGTGTCACTTATAAATATTAATTCTTAGTGATCTGAACAAACCCCTAACACTAATAATTAAATAGTTAAAATTATCCAATTAAAAAATAAGATATAAAAAGTCAAAATTATGACATACTAAGTCAATAAAAAAATCAATTATGACAAAAAGACAAAATTGTGATATACTACGTTATGGCAAAAAAACTTCAACCTTTTGTCATAATGATATACCTTTTTATCTCATAATTTCAACATTTTATCTCATAATAATTTTAATTTAATTTTTTTATTTCTTCCATGAAATATGATATTAGTGTGTTTTGTGATATCAATCCCCAAAATGATAATTCATCATTTTGACTTTATTTCATTATGACATCAACGTTTTATCATAATTATGACTTTTTGTCATAATTATTTTTTTACAACTCATAATTTTGAATTTTATGTCAACATTTTGACTTTTATTTAGACTTTTTTCCACATTATTTTCTTTCTTCCATTAGGCATGCTAGATTATTTATAGTCAGAATGTTTTTTTAATCTCATAATTGTTTTTGTTTTTTTTATCTCATAATGTCATAATTGTGACTTTTGTTTCTCATAATCATGACCCTTTCTGTCATAATTGAAATAAAAAAAACTCAATTTTAACTTGTTAGAATTTTGACTTTTTGTTTTGATCTCTCTCTAAACCTGCATTATTTTCTTTCTCCCATGAAACATGTTAGGTTATTTTAGCCAGAATGCTTTTATTTCATAATTTCGATATTTTATCTCATAATGACTTGGTATGTCATAATTGTGCACTTATCAATAGTCTACCCACAATGCTCTGCTGCAGAGAAGCATGGACTGCCGCAGGATTCTCCACACACGCAGTGACAGGAGTGTTTGTGAGGGAAAAGACAGACAGACAAGACTGAACCTGATTTACAGATCCTGCAGGAGATGAAAGAGAGAGAAGTAACAACAAAAGACGCTCAACAGGAGTTTATTTACTTTAAACGAGGCTTCTGACACTCACTGATCATACAAACTGACCCATGATTATTCTGTCATCATTTACTCTCTCGTGTCGCTCCATTCACATTTATGCATTTAGCAGATGCTTTTATTTCAAAGTGACTTACAAAAGATTGTCTGTTGCTCGGCAACCACTTTGTTGCAACCACAACTGATTCTGAGGAACTACATTGTTTGGTGGAAGAATACTGTTTTTATTAATATCATTACACTTTATTTGCTCTGTTTTATTTTGTGAAACCTTACTGCGTATATGGAATAACCGATTTATAAAAGAAATAAACCCCGTGAAGCCGTTGTTTACAGTGAATTTATATCAGCTTCGCGTCGTGCCTAAATTCACTGTAAACCACGGCTTCTTGGGGCTTATTGCTTTATTTTACAGCTGTCAGTTTCTGATATTTCCAGGTTTAGGGGATCCAGCGTATGATATAAAGCAGACGCTTCACGTGGCTACAGGTTGGTTTCTGCTACAGCATTTATCACAAGCACTAATGCAGCAGTGGCACTTATCAATAGTCTACCCACAATGCTCTGCTGCAGAGAAGCATGGACTGCCGCAGGATTCTCCACACACGCAGTGACAGGAGTGTTTGTGAGGGAAAAGACAGACAGACAAGACTGAACCTGATTTACAGATCCTGCAGGAGATGAAAGAGAGAGAAGTAACAACAAAAGACGCTCAACAGGAGTTTATTTACTTTAAACGAGGCTTCTGACACTCACTGATCATACAAACTGACCCATGATTATTCTGTCATCATTTACTCTCTCGTGTCGCTCCATTCACATTTATGCATTTAGCAGATGCTTTTATTTCAAAGTGACTTACAGAAGAGGTACAAAAGCAATTTGTCAAAGAGCCAACGATATTCGCAATATATTCTGACTGACATCATCTAACATGTTTCATAATAAGGGTTATTTAGATTAGATTAGATTTAACACAATGACAATCAAGTCTAATCTAATCCAAATTACTCTCATACGTCTTATCTTCCACAAAACCTGTTAGATAATATTAGTCAGAATATTTGTTTTATAACGTAAATCTCGAAAGCATGTTTCATAATCTATACTTTTTTCATATTTATGACATTTTGTGAATTTCGATTTGAAATTTCAACTTTTTTTCTAAAAATTATGACTTTTTAAATATCATAATGTACCTTTTGTCATAATTAAAATTTTATCTCAATTTAGATTTTTTTTATAATTCAAAATTTATACTTTTTGTCATAACTGTAATTTCAACATGTTGCAAGCCTGTATTATTTTCTCAGGCACCAAAAGGGTAATTCATCATTTAGACTTTTTAATTTCATAGTTATGACATTATGCCAATTTTGACTCATAATTTCAACTTTTTTTCTCATAATTATGTTTTTTGTCATAATGTCATAATGACTTTTTATGCCATTTTTTTATTTATGTCATAATTTTTTCTTTATCTTGTAATTGACTTTTTACTTTCATAATTGACATTTTGTCATCATTTTGACTTTTATCTCCTAATTTTGATTTTTTAATCTTATAATTTTAACTTAATGTCATAAATTTTACTTTTAATTTCAACAAAACTTGTACTTTTTCTTCTATGAAACATGTTAGATTATTTTAGTCAGAATGTTTGTGTTTTATAACATCAATCTGAAAAAGGATAATCCATGATTTACTTTCCATTTCATAATTAGGACATTTTATGTAATAATTTCGACTTGTTTCTCATAATTATGACTTTTTATCTGGTAATTTAGATTTTTTTTAAAGTCATAATTTTAGCTTTTTGTCAACATTTTGATGTCTTCATTTCAACATGTCACTCCAACCCATATTATTTCCTTTCTTCCATGAAACGTCAGAAAGTTTGTGTTTTTTAACGTCAAATGAGACGGTGCCAGGTTTTACATCACTGGTTCCTGCATGCGCTGAATGCAAACGTGACGTGTTTAACAGCCGATCACTGTTTGTTCTGAACACATGAAGCAGAATCAGTGACGAGCAGATCTTTGTGTCTGTTAGACTGCGTGGGACGGCAGGTATTACAGACGATTAACTGGAGATGATCATCATGTCATTACTGGTGTTTGTTCAGTCAAGCATCACTGTTACTAGTGCTCAGTGTTAGGGGTTTGTTCAAAACACTAAGTATAAGTACTTATGAGTAACCCTAAATATTTTCACCTGCTGGACAATGAAACCGTTTTTCAAAAATCCCACAGACTTGCTTTGAAGAAGGGACCCGAGCCACATCTACAGACCTTAAGATCAGAGAGATGCGAGGGGTGAACAACCCAGAACCCCCAACAACTACCTGGCAACACCCTAACAACCACCCAGAACCCCCTAATGACAACCTAGGAACACCTAGAACCCTCTAATGACTATTCAGCAGCACCCTAGTAACCACCCCACACCTCCTAACTACCACCCAGAACCTTCTAACGACTACCCAGCAACACCCTAGTAACCACCCAGAACCACCTAACTACTTAGCAACACATTAGCAACCACCTAGAACCCTCTAATGACTAACCAGCAACACCCAAGTAACCACCTCGCACCTCCTAACTACCTAACAACCACCCAGAACTCCCTAATTACCTAGCAAACACCCAAAACCCATAATGACAACCTAGCAACACCCTGGTAACCACCGAAATCCCCCTAACAACTACTTAGCAACACCTTTGTAACCACCCAGAACTCCCAAACAACTACCTAGTAACCACCCCAATACCCATAACAACAACCTAGCAACCACACAGAACCCTCTAACAACTACCTAGCAACACCCTAGTAACCACTCGGAAAACCCTAACAACTACCTAGCAACCACCCAAAACCCCATAATGACTACCAAGCAACACCCTAGTAACCACCCAGAACTACTTAACTACTTAGTAACACCACCTAGAAGCCTCTAATGACGACCCAGCAACACCCTAGTAACCACCCCACACCTCCTAACTACCTAGCAACCACCCAGAACCTTCAAACGACTACCCAGCAACACCCTAGTAACCACCCAGAACTACTTAACTACTTAGTAACACCCTAGCAACCACCTAGAAGCCTCTAATGACGACCCAGCAACACCCTAGTAACCACCCCACACCTCCTAACTACCTAGCAACCACCCAGAACCTTCAAACGACTACCCAGCAACACCCTAGTAACCACCCAGAACTACTTAACTACTTAGTAACACCCTAGCAACCACCTAGAAGCCTCTAATGACGACCCAGCAACACCCTAGTAACCACCCCACACCTCCTAACTACCTAGCAACCACCCAGAACCTTCAAACGACTACCCAACCACCCCACACCTCCTAACTACCTAGCAACCACCCAGAACCTTCGAACAACTACCCAGCAACACCCTAGTAACCACCCAGAACCACGTAACTACTTAGCAACACCCTAGCAACCACCTAGAAGCCTCTAATGACTACCCAGCAACACCCTAGTAACCACCCCTCACCTCCTAACTACCTAACAAGCACCCAGAATTCCCTAATTACCTAGCAAACATCCAAAACCTCATAATGACAACCTAGCAACACCTTAGTAACCACCAAAATCCCCCTAACAACTACTTAGCAACACCATTGTAACCACCAAGAACTCCCAAACAACTACCTAGTAACCACCCCAATCCCCCTAACAACAACTTAGCAACCACACAGAACCCTCTAACAACTACCTAGCAACACCCTAGTAACTACTCTGAACCCCCTAACAACTACCTAGCAACCACCCAAAACCCCATAATGACTGCTAAGCAGCACCCAAGCAACCACCCAGAACCTCCCAATGACAAGCCAGGAACCACCTAGAACCCTCTAACGACTATTCAGCAACACCCTAGTATTCACACCACACCTCCTAACAACCACCCAGAACCTTCTAACGATTACCCAGCAACACCCTAGTAACCACCCAGAACCACCTAACTACTTAGCAACACCCTAGCAACCACCTAGAACCCTCTAATGACTAAACAGCAGCACCCTAGTAACCACTCCACACCTCCTAACTACCTAGCAACACCCTAGCAACCACCTAGAAGCCTCTAATGACTACCCAGCAACACCCTAGTAACCACCCAGAACCACCTAACTACCTAGCAACACCCTAGCAACCACCTAGAACCCTCTAATGACTAACCAGCAACACCCTAGTAACCACTCCACACCTCCTAACTACCTAGCAACCACCCAGAACCTTCTAACGACTACCCAGCAACACCCTAGTAACCACCAGAACCACCTAACTACTCAGCAACACCCTAGTAACCACCCAGAACCACCTAACTACCTAGCAACCACCCAGAACCCTCTAAGAACTCTTAGCAACACCCTTTTAACCACCCCGAACCCCCTAACAACAAGAATCCACCCAGAACACTCCAGCACTTTGACTTTCTCACAAATTTAACATTTAAGAAATGTTTGTTTCTATGATGTAGTTGAAGGATATGATACCGTTCGACTCAGAAACGGCTCCGGCGCTGCGAGCTGTAATGAGAGAGAAAACATAACGAGATTCAACACAGATATTGCCAATAACTATTTCTGTGCGATATGAAGAAAACACAAATACCCTGCTTTCTTTGTTTATTTTAGATGCTTTTTGCTGCACACATTTAGCCAATGTATTGAGTATAATGCATTGCTTACAATATTTTAATTTAATTAAATTTTTAAAATTGTATTTATTATATATTTATTTTATTTTATTTCCAGGAAATGCTTTATACATCAGTATCTCTGATGCCTAGAAGCCCAGAGCTGAAAATCCTGATTATTCTATGCATTTATACCATTTATATGATTTAATATGCTTATACTATATACATGTTTTAATTGATTACAAAAACTGCCTACCGGGGTTTTAATCTTTAGTGTCTCAAGACCTTGAGCAAGAACAAGTAAGCATTATAATTTAGGCCAGACTCAGTTTACTTAATTTAACCTGAGAATAATGCATAATAAGATTAAAGGCGTTAAGACTAAAGTATGCACTGCAAAAGATCACGTATATATGACTAAATAATATAAAACACAAAGTCCGTACCTTTGCCTTGACCTGCGCTGTGCCGGTCTGCATCTCCCATTGCATTCTCTACTGTAATCAAATATATAATTAACATGACGCAAACTCTGAAATGTATTGATTCTATACTGAATATGGAAACTTCATTCATTTAGAATCGAGCTGAATTTGTACATTGTGTTCATACATGATATAATTTCAAAGCAGCTTTTAAGAGAAACATTGCATGTTTATGGACATGCTAAACTTTGAATACAATAGATTGTTACCTGCTTTCTCTTCTGTAAAGTAAATGATAAATGATATGCTGATATTTGCACTCTGAATCACTAATCATCTCTTTTAATGGACAGTTTTGACTCGCCGAACCAGGAGCAGCAGATAAATGAAGTGTGTGATCACTAACAAGGAACTGAGTGCATCAGACACACACCACTGAATCTGTTCCAGTTCAGTCATGCGTTATGTGAGCGATTGAAATGCACTCAAACCGTCGAGACGCGGGGATTTTTTCATGCGCAGTGCTGTGTCATATGTGTAAAGTCATTGGACGAGGCTAACGAGGTTTGGAAATCACATGCAAGCACGAATTATATGGTGCACTGACTGTCAAGAGATTGGAATAATTAAGATATTTTCAATGTTTTTGAAAGAAGTCTCTTCTGCTCACCAGGGCTGCATTTATTTCATCAAAAATACTGTAAAAATTTTGAAATATTATTGCAATGTAAAACAGCTGTTTTCTATGTGAATATCTGTTAAACTGTAATGTATTTCTGTGATGCGCAGCTGTATTTTCAGCATCATTACTCCAGTCTTCAGTGTCACATGATCTTCAGAAATCACATTTCTGATTATTATCAATGTTGAATGTTATTCACAGAAATTAATTACAGTTTAACAGATATTCATATAGAAAACGGCTGTTTTTCATTGTAATAATATTTCACAACTTTTACTGTATTTTTAAAAATAAATTCAGTCTCGGTGAGCAGAAAAGGCTTCTTTCAAAAACATGAAATAATTGTAATTATTCCAAACGTTATAGACTCATAGAGAAGCTCAAGACTAACGGATGCCGTCTCTGTTAAATGATGGAGAATGTAAGTATAATTCATCATTAATGTACTGACACGCAACAACACAGCTTTACGGTATTAACCGTAACAGTCAGGGATCGTTTTATTTTCCTCTGTAATTCCAGATTTAAATCGACCAAAAAAGATGCACTAAAGCTTTGTGATGATCTCTTACCTATATCTTCATCGAAAGCATCAGCAAGATCAAATCCTACAGAATGAACAGGAGAAACACAAATATAATAGTATCTCAATGATACTAAAATAACATGGGATACATAATTAATACAGGTCAGATTTCTACACTCAAAAATCATGCTATAGTTTATTATTAACTATTGCACCTAATCGATTTAATTTAAATAACCATATTATTCAAAATAATGCATTTATTCAAATGGCTTAGAATCAGCATAAATCTGTTCATTGGGAAAACTATCACATTTATTCAATTAAAAAGTATGAACTTGGTTAAATATATGACTGTAACTGTGGAACAAGCAATAATCAAATAGATAAATGTTTGAGATTGAAACATATTGGATTTATTGATGATAAATATGTAGATCTTGTCATTGTGCATTTAAAACACTTTAGTTTATTAGCACTGTTACAGAAATCCGATCAGCTTCATTTATGCATCACATTATATATATATGTGTTTTTATTTATTATTTTCAGCTTTTTTTCCATTACTGAATGGTTTTTAATACTTTTAGTTATTTTATTTCCAGTTAGTGACTTCAGTTTTTATTTCCAGTTAGTAATTTTAGTGTTTAAACTCATTTAGTTGCCAGACCAGTATGTCTGATCTGCTGCGTCTGCTTTTTCAGCGAAACGGTACAGAGAGGAAAATACGTCATAGTCAAAACCACACGATTATTACAGGCTTCCCAGATGCATTTCTATGACTTTTCCAGGACTTCATGGTCACAGGATATTTGAAGGATTTTTGAAATCATTTCATTGAAGATTGCGTTCAGAAAGAGCCGCTTCTGGCTATGAAATATTTCAGGGCTGAGAATAACTGGGACACATTATCTGATAGAAACTCCTGATCTCTCAGGTTTCTGTGGCTGTTCTGAATCGTTATTCTCAGTGTTGTTTGTGGAGTGTAATGTCTTTGTGTTTAGATCAGATCACCTGCTGGTGTTTCTTCAGCATCTTCTGTCGCGGCGTCTGAGGAAACACACATCAGGGTTAAAACGCTTTCACTGAACGCTAAAGCACATCTTGATTTTCTCTGAATAATTGTTGAAGCCTGTAGTAAATGAAGTGTACCTGTGTCAGGGTTTGTGTCTTCAGCTTCAGGCTCTATTAACACACAAAGACAACACAAGTCATGCTGCGTTATTATACAGATAATGCATTGACTAACAGACTAACTGTTTATTCTGATTATTATTATCAAACTGAAATAAATGTAAAATGTAAATATATTGAACATTGACATTTTGTATGCATTAAACGGTGCATCAGTGATTCTACCACAGAAAACAAGGGTGCCTTTGCATTGTGCCTAAAATCAGTATTATTTTAGAATTATTGATTATTATTTTGAATAAGATATTATTTTTATCTTTTCAAATTTTAGTTTAATTTTTAGCAATCTTATGTGCTTTTGTTTAATTTTTATTTTATTATTATATATGTAATTTATTTTATTATATATTTTTCCATTTAAGTTTTTACTTATTTCCAGTTACATTAATGTTATTGTTTTCATTTTGTTTAGGTTATCTAATATTTATATTTTATTTCAGCTTCATTTCAGTTACTGTACATTTTTGATTTTTAATAGGTTTAGTTTTTTTTTTTTTCAGGTAGTAATTTTAGTGCTTCAACTTAAACTTTAACTTTTCAGTTAGTTGCCAAGGAAATGTTTCTGTTTTTCATTAATTTTCATTAATAAAAGTTTTTAACTAATATATTTTTTACATTTATTTCATCTTAATTTCAGTTACTTGATTGTTTTAAACTATAATTTTTAATTGTTTTAGTCAGTGTTATAGTTCCATTTCAGTCGGTCACTCTAGACGTCACGTCGGTGATGACCGACGAATTGGGATCTCGCCAGAGAGACCAATCCACTTCGAGTGTAACTAAACGAGCCAATGGATATTGGCATGAACATTTCGCATCTGGCTGCCACAAACGCATTTTCGAGTGCATCCATCCCCAAGATTGGTTTGCAGCGATCGACCTGAAGGATGCGTACTGCCCTTCGGGCTGTCCCTGTCGCCTCGCGTCTTCACCAAAGTCGTGGAGGCAGCCCTTGTTCCTTTGAGAGAAAGCGGGGTGCGCATCCTCAACTATCTTGACGACTGGCTCATACTGGCTCACACAGGGTCCTGGTGCTCAGACACCTCAGCCAGTTGGATCTTCGGGTCCACTGGGAAAAGAGCAAACTCGTGCCAACGCAGAGGATCTCTTTTCTCGGCATGGAGTTGGATTCGGTCAGCCAGACAGCACGCCTCACCCAGGAACGTGCTCAGTCGGTGCTGAACTGCCTCAAGACTTTATCAGGCAGGACGGCGGTCCCACTGAAATTCTTTGAGAGGCTCCTGAGGCATATGGCTGCAGCTGCGGCGGTAGTTCCGCTCGGTCTGCTTCATATGAGACCGCTTCAGCACTGGCTCCATGGCCGAGTCCCGAGGTGGGCGTGGCGACGTGGTACTCACCGGGTTCAGATTATACCGGCCTGCCACAGAACATTCAGCCCGTGGTCAGATCCCTCGTTTCTTCGGGCAGGAGTGCCCCTGGAACAGGTATCCAGGCATGCTGTGGTATTCACGGATGCCTCGGCCACCGGCTGGGGGGCCACGTACAACGGGCATGCATTGTCAGGGGTTAGGACGGGTCCCCAACTGCGTTGGCATATCAATTGCCTCGAGTTGCTGGCAGTACGCCTTGCCCTGAGCCGCCTCAGAGGGCGCCTTCGGGGCAGGGACGTTCTGGTCCGCACGGACAACACTGCGACTGTTGCGTATATCAACCGGCAAGGCGGTTTACGCGCCCGTCGCATGTTGCAACTCGCCCGTCGAGTTGAAGTTTCTTTCTATGAAAACCCTACTCCTGAATGCATTTGGCCTCGATCAAGAGGGTGGGGGACCTGCAGGCATTTTCGGTCAACGAATCATGCCTTGAGTTTGGGCCGGCTTATTCCAGTGCAACACCGAGACCCCGGCCCGGCTACATGCCCAAAGTTCCTACCACCCCTTTCAGGGACCAGGTAGTGGACCTGCAAGCGCTGCCCCTGGAGGAGGCAGACCCAGCCCTAGCTTTGCTCTGTCCTGTACGCACACTGCGACAGTACGTGGATAGAACTCAGAGCTTTAGGACCTCAGAACAGCAGAAGGGGAAGGCTGTCTCCAAGCAGAGGATGGCCCACTGGATAGTGGATGCCATCACCTTGGCCTATGAAGCACAACGTGTGCCCGGCCCGCTCAGGCTGCGTGCTCACTCCATTAGGGGTGTCGCGTCGTCCTGGGCGCTGGCTCGTGGTGCCTCGCTAGCAGACATCTGTAGAGCTGCGGGCTGGGCGACTCCTAACACGTTCGCTAGGTTCTATAGCCTGCGTGTCGAACCGGTTTCCTCCTGTGTTCTCACCTCAAACAGGTAGTGGCACTGAAAGGCCTGGTTCAGAGTCGGCTTGCGGTGTCCTGGACGCCTATTTCTCCAGAGAGTCCCCTGACCGGGCAGACCCTGTTGAGTCCTCCAGCACTCTGGCGGCCAGACGTGGCGGAGTGTCCGGCGCCAGGCCTTTCAGCCAATGAATTCCTGAAATCTGGTGTGAGGCTAGTGCCCATATGAGTGACCCGGTTGGGATCCCATATGTGTATTTCCACTGTACAGTTACTAGGGCCGTGTTTCCCCGGCAGACCACGTTCTGCCATCTCTAAATGATGCAGCCATGAGCCATCTCAGAGACTTCCATGTGCAGTAGGGACCCTCGGGGTTACTTAAGTGAGTAAATGTCACTTAAGTCGGTTAAGTGTGTCTCGGTTACGTATGTAACCCTCGTTCCCTGAAGGAGGGAACGGAGACCAGCGTATACCCACGCTGCGGGGTGTGGCAGCCAGATGCGAAATCCGCATGTCAATGTCCATTGGCTCGTTTAGTTACACTCTAAGTGGATTGGTCTCTCTGGCGAGATCCCAATTCATCGGTCATCACCGGCGTGATGTCTCCGTTCCCTCCTTCAGGGAACGAGGGTTACATACGTAACCGAGACGTTTTTATTAATAGTTTGAATTAGTTTAAATTTTTGTATTTTCTGTTTATTTAAATTTTAGTTAGTTTTAGTAATTTTGTTGTTTTGTCAGTTTTATTAGTGTTTTAAAAATGTCTATATAGTTTTTATTCATTTTTATTTCCGTTTTAGTTATTTTAGTACATCAAGTTAAACTAAATTCAAATAAATTCAAATATTTTTTTAAATATATAATTTTCAGTTAACTTTTATTTTATTTCAAGTAACATTTTTATGCTTTTAATTTTAGTTTTACTTAATAATCACCCTGGTTTCAGTTTTAGCTTTTATGTATTTCCAGTTAGTAACTTTAGTGTGTCAACTTATTTTACTTAGCTGCCAAGTTTAGGTTTTTCATCTAATATTTATACTTTATTATTTATTTCATTATTTGTTTATTAATATTTGTATGTCATTTCAGCTTATTTTGATTTTTAATAGCTATAGTTTAGTAAACCCTGCTAAGAACACCTCTTACTCGAGATAAAATCACTGTAAAGTGCTTTAATTTTAATGTCTGTGTTTGTTTAACCTGCAGGAGCTGTTGCCTCCTCCGCTGGTTCCTCAGGTGTTTCCTCAGGTGTTTCTTCAGGTGTTTCCTCAGGTGTTTCCTCAGGTGTTTCCTCAGGTGCAGGAACTTCAGCTGGTTTTTCAGCGTCTGCAGCTGAAACATAAAGATCTCTCAATCAGACAGGAGACAGCGTCCCACAGATTTGTCCTCTTTTATCTCGTTGCTGTCAGCATCAGGAGCATCAGCTGCTGTCGGATCATAACTCTCTTCTCGTATGTGCAAGCTCTCCTCAAGCACACATGTGACCATAAATCACCAAACCAGGCGCTAAGTGTTTTCAGTGTATATAATATCTATATGCTACGTGTCGGGACAGTTCTGTCTTTCTACCATCACATCAGAAACATCCAGTGAGCGGCTTTATCAAGAACAAACCTGTTCCAGACCCTCATATCAGCTTTAGAGGAGTGCTTCATTACGAGGATTGAACGACACTGCCTTAGCATGACTATATATGCAAGAATTCAGACTAAATTGAAGTCTCTATTCACTGATAATCTTCCTCTCAAATCGCAAATGCAGGTTTGTTTCCATATGACACGTGAAAATCAGTGGCGTTTCCCATCACATGATCTCAGATGACACAACTTTCCCTAACGTTCTTTAAAAGTTATATCAATATTAGGACAAAATGTTCTTAAAGTAATGTTTATGGAACATTCTTATAACTTTATTAATATTTGATATACGCTCTCATAACGTTGAGGAATTCTCAAAACGTCCTTATGATGTTATTTGTACTTGATGAACATCTAAGAAATGCTTTTGTAAGCTCTAAATAACGTTGCAATTGCGACAAGAAAACTGGAGATTTTAACTTCCTTAGAATATTAAAAATAAACATTCAAATAACATTATATTTTTCTGGGGTAGAAATAAAATAAGTACAACGTTTTTGTAACCTTTAAATAACATTATAGTCACAACAAAAAAACTGGACATTTTAACGTTTATAAAATAACAAAAATAAGCGTTCAAATAACGTTAAATTTTTTTGTGAAAATAAAGTTTGCAGATCGTTTTAAGAAATGTTTTGTAACCTTTAAATAATAAGTTATAATCATAACAAAAAAGTGGACATTTAAACGTTTACAAAATAACAAAAATAAACGTTCAAATAATGTTCATTTTGAGTAAAAATTAAAATTAGTACAACGTTTAAGAAACATTCTTGTAACCTTTAAATGATGTTGTAATCACAACAAAACTTTTTAACGTTCTTAGAATATTAAAAAATAAAGTTCGCAGATCGTTTTAAGAAATGTTTTGTAACCTTTAAATAATAAGTTATAATCACAACAATAAAGTGGACATTTAAACGTTTATAAAATAGCAAAAATAAACGTTCAAATAATGTTAATTTTGAGTAAAAATTTAAATTAGTACAAAGTTTAAGAAACATTCTTGTAACCTTTAAAGTACGTTGTAATCACAACAAACCTTTTTAACGTTCCTAGAATATTAAAAATAAACGTCCAAATAACGTTAAATTTTTTCGTGAATATAAAGTTCGCAGATCGTTTTAAGAAATGCTTTCTAACCTTTAAATAATAAGTTATAATCATAACAAAAAAGTGGACATTTAAACGTTTACAAAATAACAAAAATAAATGTTCAAATAACATTGAATTCTGAGTAAAAATAAAATCAGTACAACGTTTAAGAAACATTTTTATAACTTTTAAATAGCGTTATAATCACCACAACAAGAAAACTGGACATTTCAATGTTTTAGAAGCATTTCGTTTTCTTACTTTTAGTTTTTATTTCCAGTTAGTAACTTTAGTTCTTCAACGGAAACTTTTTTAAGTTAGTTGCCAAGGACCAAATTTAGGATTTTCATAAAGTTTAAATTTGTCATCTAATATTTGATTTCAGCTTTATTTCAATTACTAAAAATAATTTTTAATAGTGTTCGTTTTAGTTAGCCCAGATAAAAACTCCACTTACTCGTGGAAAAAAAAAACACTGTAAATCACTGTAAAAACTATAGAATAGTTTAAAACATTGGTCATTTACTCATCCTCATGTTGTTTTCTATGCTTTCATGATCCAAAAAAGCACTATATTCCCAGTCTATTGAAGTTTTTGTGATGTTTCGTGTGAAGAACCGATTAAATTTCAGTTGCTATTGATAACCTTCCTCTCAAATCCCAAATGCAGGTTTGTTTCCACGTGGCATGAGAAAATCATCAGTGTTTCCCATCACATGATCTCAGACCACATGCAATACACTTTTCATTGCATGCAAAGACTGAAGCTTCATGCATGCATCTCCTTTTTTGTTTTTGTCACACGGGTTTGGAGCGACATGAGGGTGAGTAAAAATTGATGGCAAAATTTGATAGGTGAACTATTCCTTTAAACTTGGAGGAAACATATCTGATATCTAAGTAAATAAAACTAAAATGCAAGTGTTTAATGGAGTCATGTTGATCGGTTTCAGCTCTGAACAGGTCTGACGGTCAACACTCTCGAATGTGTTTCAGAGTCGAACAGACTCGTTACTCATCACTGCATTAGAACCAAATGACTTAACTAGTTACTAAATCCAACAAAAACCTCTGAATCAGAACAAAACGTTCACTTTCACGCTCTGAACAAAGATGAAGTTGAGAACAGGCCATTCCTGAAGCACAGACTCACAAAACCTGCTCAATGCTTTACATTCGGAGAAAGCCAGAAATCACTGCCAGCGAAATGGTGGGGAATCGTAATGATACGGGCACACGTCAAAAAAAAAACCTTGTTCGATCGTACGATGCCACTGCTGCATTTTACAGAACAAAGTCTCTTCTGCTCACCAAGGGTGCATTTATTTAATCAAAAATACTGTAAAAACAGTGAAATATTATAACAATGTAAAACAGCTGTTTTCTATGTGAATATCTGTTAAACTGTATTTTGATGAGTTCTATTGACATCATAATATTAATATTGTGCAATTTAAAGTGTAAATTGCCATTTAAACTGACGTTTTGCATTAACTGTAGTAATTTAATGAACTTGTAACTTGTCTTGATAACTTTGAAAATTGTTGTGAAGTTGTGCTTTGCATAGGACTGGATAAGTAAATGTTGAAAGTAAGTGTTTGAGTTTCTGTTATGTGTTTATGGTTGTGTTTTAGATCACATTTACCATATGAGCAATGACTGCACTAATACCAGTGATAAATAATGTCTTAGTTATTTATTACGTTTACATGCGTTACATTACAATTAGCATGTGCTCGGTTCATTTTAACTGAAATAATAGATCAGAGTAATTGTTTCCAAAACCAATGCTTAATCATGTTTTTGTGAGTAATCTACTTAAAAATGTGTGCAAATGCTAAGAATTGTTACATTCCTCTAACTCAATGCATTGATTTTATTAGAAGTTGTGGAAACATTGTTTTCAAATGTTTCATTATTGAAAGGTTACAAAAAAGTTTCTTCCGATGTTCCACTCATTTATTTTTAAACCCAGATATGTTACTTGAGTCGTTTAAAGGGTTATAAAAATGTTTGTTTAAATGAATGTTTAGTTTTAGTATTTCAAGCATTTTCTAAATAAAGAACATTTTCTCTAAACATTATTAGAATGTTCATCAAATACAAATAACATCATAAGGCTCTCAATAACATCAGTGTTTGATCTCAGAACATTTTCTCTCAAAGTTATGACGTTAAGTTAATGAAGTTAAACACGTTTTGTCCTAACGTTTATATAACTTTTAAAAAACATTAGTGAAAGTTGCGAGAACTGATATGAACGTATTATATGTTTTCATTATTTTGTACGTGGGTCAAAGACGTTAAGATGTCCGCATCAAAATAAATTTACAAAAGTGATTATATGTCGATAGAAAGCACATTAAATGTAAGTAAAGTGTCTACTTTTAAGGTTTCAAATACGTTTTTGAAGAATAAAATGTCAAAATTTGTTTTAAATAATGTTACAATGTTATGAGTAAAAAATTCTTACTGAAAAACGGGCGAAACCTAGGATAGTGGCACATTTTAAAAATGTAAAATTACAGCTAATTAGTAAGCTGTATTTTCAGCATCATTACTCCAGTCTTCAGTGTCACATGATCTTCTTTCTGATTATTATTAATGTTGAAAACAGTCGTGCTGCACAATATTTTTGTGGAAACTGTAATTTTTTTTTTTTTCAGGATTCACAGATGAACAGAAAGTTCAAAAGAACAGCATTTATTTGAAATAGAAATCTTTTGTAACATTATAAATGGCTTTACTGCCACTTTTGATCAATTTAATGCTTCCCTGATGATTAAAAGTATATGTATATATATATATTATTTTTTTTATTTTTTTTATCTTTCTTATTTCAAAGTTTTGAACGGTAGTGCATCACAGTTCCCCAAAAAAAAAAAGTATATATATATAATAATAAAAAATAATAATAATAAAAATCTAAATTATTTCAAATTTTGTGACCTGCAGTGTATTCAATTCTATCATTTTATGTAATATTTCTATTACTGTTTAATCTCATGTTGTGTGCTGTTGCTTTCATAAGTAAGTTGCAGATAAGAGGATATCTCTTTCTCAAGGATTTAGTTGTGAGCAGTAATTTTCCATTGCTTTGGGATAAAAACACCTGTTGAATTCATGCTGGTCAGAAATCCTGGAGAAATACACAACTCATGAGCTCACTTCACCATCACTTTCTCCTCTGCCTCCGTCTGACTAGCGACTTAACCACTAGTTTGGATGCCCGAAAAAAAATAGTTTTGGCTTTCAGACTAATTTCTGTGTTAAACAGATTATCTTCTGACGAGATCTGCTAAACAGACTGGATCCAACATTACGGCAGGAACATGACATTTCTCTATTTCAAGCAAGATCTACTACAGTATATGAATTCAAGAAGGGTTTCATGATCACATACACACTTAATAATAAAGATAAAATGCCATAAGAACCGTTTCTGGTTCCTCAAAGAACCTCTCAGTGATCAGTTCCCAAAATAAACATTTTTTTCTTAAAGTGAAGAACGTTTTAATAATCTAAAGAACTTTTTTCGACTATAAAGAATATTTTGTGTAATGGAAAGAGTGGAAGCATGCATGAACGCCAGTGAAGAACCTTTATTTTTAATAGTGTTTATTTAGATTCA